ATAAATGAGGACTTTCTGTTGCAGTAAAGGATGAGTTACTGCTGCACATTTTGCAGCTCTATAGCCTCCCTAACGGCACATATTTCATACTCAAACCATTGAGGGTTCAACAGAAACACAAAGCCAAAAGAAACGGAAAGAATTTATCAAAATGACAGTTTCTCTTCTCCTTTTATTGTTATTTATTTCTCAGTGGACCAGAGCTGCAGGAAGAACAGATTTACCAAGCGATTAACTAAAGTGTTGTCCTGATCAGGTTGGAAGCAGTAGTTAAGCAACCATAACAACTACAAACTGTGTTAAACTTTGCATGACAGATTACATCAAAAAACAATCCAAAGGCGAGGGCCATGTCAATTGTGAAATACATTATTTTGGGAAAAATACCCGCTCAGGAGTGAAAGATCCACCCAAAATGCTCCCATATCACAGTTCACAGTAATATGTGGCTTTTTATTGCGCTGTTCGTCATCCTCAGATAATACGTTAAGCACACAAATTAAAAATGACATTAATCTAAACCTACATTCAATGTACTGTTTGCAGAAAGGAAATATTTATATTAATTGATTACCATAAAACTATTGCCAACAAGTTCTATCGCACAAACAATACAGATTATGATTTTCAGCTGGTGAGGCTCTCTCACTTTTAAAATAAGGATACGTACAAGCAGGCATATTAAGACCCTTATACCTGACAAACCAGAGTTTCATCAGCGAATCTAAAATATAAAACAAAAACCTGCTTTTATCCAGCAGAGTAGAGAGCCGACCTCTGCCCTTTTCAAAAGAAGCGTTTCGGTGTAGCCTATAACAATTTCCACTGTACACGAGTTGAGCAATTACAAATGTTCAACCTGTACAGTGTTTGTTTGTTTGATCAATTCCCCGTTAAACAACACGTTGGTTGTGAGAAGAACAAATCAGGAACTGAGAAGTGATTCTTGAAGACGTTTTTAGATTGAAGTTATCTGCGGACTGACCACATGTTCAAATGAAAACGGTGGATGAGAGGAAAATGTCATTTATAGTTTTCCAATCAATGAAATTAGATTGAAGTACTAATTAGATGACCTGTTAATACCTTTTGTGTAAACAATGTATTGGGAATCCAACACGTTCTCATCAGAAATCGTCACATTCTGAAAGTTTAGAATGGGAATCCCATCGTGTCGACCCCCGACACCAAACTACGGCCACACCCCCGTGTGACGTGAATTCAAGCAAAACCACTAAATTAGGTCAAGTAAACAAAACCTTGGAGTACGAAAAAAGCATCATGGCTGGGCTTAAAAATAAGTAAACCGTGTAACACTTGAGGTTTATGCTAAAAGAGAGTGACAGTCGTCGCTATCCATCCCCGTCCCCCCCTGGACGAAACGACTTGACTTCTTGTAGAGCGCAAGCGATCACCACCACTGGGGTCCAACATGTCCCCCCCTCCCCCCCCCCCCCCTCTCTCTCTCTTTCTCTCTCTCTCTCTCTCTCTCCCCAGCCGGGCATGTTGTGTGAAGGCAGGAAGGAGAGGGATTCACTGGTGTCTCATGAAGAGCCATCAGGGAGCAGCACACAGACAGGATGCGGGCAGTGAATAGAGGAAAGCAGGGCAGGGCTGAGGACACTGTTACTGCCTTCACCCCCCCCACCCTCCCCCACCCTACCCGCCCCGACCCACGCCTCCTCTCCCCTCCATCACACACACACACACACACACACACACACACACACACACACACACACACACACACACACACACACACACACACACACACACACACACACACTGTTATCTCCTCTATGCAGCACTTCCTATGGCCCCACACATATTCCAGCGAGCCCCCCGCTCCAGGCCCCCCCCCGCTCCTAGCTCTGCCAACAGGCCCGGGCGATAACACGTTTTTCACTCCCGTGCTTTCACTATCTCTTATCTCTCGTTCGCTCCCTTTGTTCTGCACATCTCTCTGCCCCCTCTCGCCTCGGGGCATCTTTTGATTGTTGCCACCTTTTTTTTTTGGCGGCAAAGCGCACGGTGACGTATAACCGGAAAAAGAGTCACTGAAGTGAGAAAAAAAAAGAAGAGGTGTTTCAGGTTGGGATCGTGGCCCTGTGGCGTCAAACAGAAGCTCCACCTGGATGTGAGCTGGGGCCCCGGGAGGGTCGAGACAAGGCATGAATCAGGAGGGGGAGAGCCTCCTGATATATTCGTCTATGGAAGAAATCTGTGTGAGATGCCTCAGTGATTTTTCCAACAGCTAGCCGGGTTAATACAGATAGTGTTTTCAGTGTTGAAGAACTGCAAGGAATAAATTATTTTGGGGTTATTTTGCGCTTGGCAAATCTCAACAAAACAAAAAGTGAAGCGTGGGACTTGAATGGAAAAAGCTGATCTGGCGAGTGGATGAAGTGCGGGTGGAGAGAGGTTTCTGACGGGCTCAGGTGAGGGGAACGCGGGGATCAGACAGGAGAACAGGCAGGAGAGCTGGTGGGTTCAGAACAAGGCGGATTCAGAGACGGTGATGGTAGAATGTGCAAAGGATGGAAAGGCAGTACAGAAAATCCCAAAAAACAGAAAACAGCTGGTTCCACAGCGCAAAAAAGCCTAAAGCGATAAGTACACAGTGTCAGACCGTAACACCAAGATGGCCCTCTGACGGTGTGCCTTTAGTGAACAAAGAGTCTGACATGTGCAGAGGGAATAAAAGCTCTGTGTGCTCGTTTTACATTTGAGTTAAACACATGTACAAACAGGCACAATTGTGGGACTTCACAACTTGATATGGAGGCCAGAAACTGGTCCAATTTCTTGTGACGTGATGTGGAGCAAGAAACATATTGCATCCAGCAGTTGAAATTATTCATACTTGGAAACCCCAAATATTTGCTTATTCATATATTCTGCTTTTTTCAATGAGAAGGGGGATTTTTAAAGTCTTTTTTGTCTTTGGTTAGTGTTGATTATATAGAAAATACAACAAAAGCAATTATGAGGCTGCTTTTTTAGTACAGATATGGTCATATATCTATTCCCCAAATGTTTCCTAAAGTATTCACAATTTCCCTCTTGATTTCAATGCTCACTCTTTAAACGACACCCTTACTACTAATGTAAACCTTTCTACAACTGGATCCTCTTAAGAAAATGCCAGTTTATCTAACAAAGCAAAGTTAACGACGATGAAATTAAACAGTGATCTGTGGCAGAAACAATGTTCTGCAGGTGCCACAGTGCAATCAGTGAATGTTTAATGTGTCAGCCCAGGAGAACACGGAATAATCATTTACATAATGAAGAATCCTCCTTTGTCGGCCCTTCAGCTCTTACTTTGTCCACGACTCATTGACACGCTGCAACTCCTACTTCCACTAATTAGAAACTCTCAGGACTCTTAAGTCACGTGACCCCATTCGCCCCATTAGCGTTTCAAAAGTCTTGTGTTACACTGTTTAGATCATAAAAACTGTGGTTGGTATTGAAGCGAGTTGTCCATCGGCCGAACACGAATACAAATATAGCAGTGATATTATCTGCTGCAGTCAAACCGTGATCCTTCTTCTCCCTCCTGTGCTGCTTCCAGGTGTTGCTGTGGTGACTGATCCTGTTTTCTCAACCGCTCTGAAAATAATTACGAACAGGTAGTTTATAACCGGATTCCTTGGAAAACACTAGATAACATGATCCTGCACTATAAACATGTGGACTGCAGAGGTTTTGGCAGACGGAAAGACAATCTTATGAATAGGACGACCACATCAGGAGTTTAGCACGGAGAGACAATAAAGACACCACCCGGAGAGCGTTTCCAACCGCGGCCACCACAATCGTCTCAATATGTGATAAGTTTGTCTGCTGTCACTGTCTCGTTTCCTGTTCTTAAAATAAGAAACCGTGTTTCCTCCTTCCTAATACTCGCATGGCAACCGCATTCAAACGAGTGCACGTGGACAGGCATTCCAAAGCTATTTGTCAAATGACTAAATCAATGCAACGTGTTGCCTCGTTGGTCTGTTTTCAATGTTTCGTGGACACGGGGAAGCGTTGTCGCATGCTCAGACAACGTTCCTCGCTACTACTGTATCATCCCTCGCTGGCACAACAGATCACCACTGTGTGGATGGACCGCGATGCCCGCTCCACTTGATGTTCGGCCTTCCGGGGTCGCACTTCAACGTGTTAGTGGTTTGCAAGCTGGATGCAGGTGATGGAGCTCTCTGCTTGCCGTCTGGGAGACAGCTGTGTGAGTGGGACGCCAGTACGTAAGGAAAAGTTCTTTGAACCTAAAGAGGGGTAATGACCCGCTTTTTGTTTCCCATCTTCACAGCGAAGGAGAAGATACCGCCAGATAAGAATAAATCTCCAAATCTCTCGTTGTGCGTGTATAAATCTAGAAATGTTGCAGATTAATTAAGCAAAACAAACTGTAGATTGTCCAAAAGGCATTTCCCGAGATGCTTTGATCTGGTCTTTTAATTTGGATCTAAATACATTTGCTAATTGATTGGTGCATATTTTGAAACAAAGCTGCTGATTGGTTTACTCATTGCTTGATTGCTATTTATGTTACAGTTTCAACGGCTTCCTGTGAGGCTGTAAAGTCCTGTGTAACAGGAGTTCGATTTCCAAACACTGGTTTGAGATTTAATTAGGATCAACGCAATTTGACTGCAGCCCTCGGGAGAGTCAATCAAATGATTTATCTGAAGAACGTCTGGTCGCTCAACATCTAACCTTAACTTTCCGGCAGGAATTTTACGGAAAGTTGAATATTTGACATGTTTGGACTTACTCTTTGGTTTGTCAGTCTTACATTGACTCACACCAAAAAACTTTAATAATAAATCAAGGGGTTTTACGCGATCCCAGCATTACTCAGCACAAATCTCTAGGTCCATCTTCAGAGCCGGTCCTGATGTGCTTCTCCACAGACAGACAGGTGGCAGCAGAGAGCCACGAGGCCCCAGCAGCTGATGAACTCCACTTCCACATAATTAAATCTCATGCGTCTTTTATTCCATCCCGGGCTCCATTTTTGTGTCACTTCTCGGGACGAGCATATTAGAGCAGAGTTCCGGACGAAGAAAAGAGAAGTGATCGGAAGGAAAGACGCCCCACGCCGGATAAAGATCAGCTGTTGGATGCAGGCCTGTGACAATACAGTAAGTCAGAGTACGTTTTCTATTGAACTATGCAAAAGTATCTTGTACTTTACGGTGGTACATGCAATGCAATGCAATGCAATGCAAGGAGGGTTTGAACATGAGTAACACAGACACTAAGAGCCGGGTGATGTCGAAGCTGAAGGAGAAAAATGATACAGAAAGACAGATCATTTCCTAAATCGTACCAATCAGTAGGTCCCCCCCCCCTCTCCCGTCTCGCCCACACTGGGGACTCAAATGTTTTGTCAGGGTCATTGTGTGGTGTCAGCGTTTTGGCACAGCGGAGTGATTTAAGGGGGCATGGCGTGCTTGTCATGCCCCCACGCCCGACGGTTTCAGTCTGCCCTCAGTGTGTGCAAACAAATAAAGCGCAGGGGCCTTTTTAATTAGCTCCGGGGTCCAGATTGACAGCTTGTAGTGGCACAGATAGCACAGTAACCACCTATTACTCTAAATATTTGGCGCGTTGCACAGTTGAAACCATAAGCGTGGGCCCTCTGGAGGCTCGTTAGTGGGTGGAAAATGTAAAACAAGTCACAGCGTGTGTTTGTTGCCTGGCAATATTATAAAAACCATACAACAGATATTTAGTATGATTCCTTGTATTTTGGGGTCTTTCGGGGTCTTTCTAGAGACAACAAAACAACAATTTTTTTTTATTATTAGGCAAAGGAAAAAAAAGTTGCAACCTTTCTCATTACCAATTTAAAAATGCTTTATTGTGTCACAGAGCATTAGCACTGCTCGCCCACACAAGGACACCTTAAAACAATGTTGATGTTGACCTTATGGTTATAAAGGTCATCCTAAATCACTATAGCCACAACTGGAGAGGGACAGAGCTAATGTCTGGGATTGAGCTGTAAATCTGAATTTAAGTCCAGAAAAAGATATACAATTGAAATAATTGGCTTAAACAGACAGAAATATGTGCAGGTTCCTTTTAGTCACATTCTAATTAACTGTAGACATTTTATGACATGATCTCATTTGAAAAAAATTATAAATAATGATGGTTAATATTAGTCAAACAATATAACATCACAAAACACTTCATCCGCTTTTCAAAAACCAAATGTAACCTGAAAATGGTTGAATTATTTGCACTGACATCGAGGCAGGAGTCCCAGTCGGATACTGTGGAACAACCTTTAGCTTTTAATCTTAACGTCACGCCCAATAATTGTTTGTCATTGAATCTGTGTGATCCCTCGCTAATCCATGTCTTCTTAGGTCCTTACAGCTTTATTACGCTCTGCATCAAAGGCGAGCCGGGGGCGGATGAAGAATAGAAATCCCATGACGTGTTGGATATCACGTCTCAGTTTGTCCTGTAAAACTCTTCGAGAACAACACATTACTCCAATTATCCCCTTTGTGTTTTTTGCCTTGTTGCCCGATGGTCGTGTAAGTATTTGTTAGAGCAGAGCTGTTTCCATCTTTCCCCGTCTGCTGATATTGTGTTGTGTTTCTCCACCGGGCAAGTAACAACATGCTGCTTCCTGATCTCTCTCCACACTGAATAATGTGTCATACTTACAAAAAAATCCTTAGAGGGGGTGAATATGAATTGATGAGACACTAAACTGATAACATGTTTCATTTAGTCAACTTCCATTATTAATTAAATCATAATAGCTCTTAGGATGTTTTCTTCAAGTCTGATCATGAGCCGTTTTTTTTTCTTCATTTTTTTTTAAATCTCAGGCTATGAAGGTCATAATTCATAGTGCGACTGTGTGAGGGGCATATGTGACACTGATGGGTCTCGTGTTTATTTAATGCCGACTGAATGACGGTGGTCAGGCCTTCGGCTTCCTCTGCTCTTAAAATGTAATTATGGGGGAGTCCTTCCCTGCAGCAGTTTGACAGCTCTGCTGAACTTTTCATGATATATGCTGAATCACGATGCATTATAAATATCTAGTATAACCTGTTATTTACTATTATTTTAAGGATTTGTTACATTTTTTTGATTTGCTTACAACACAAGCAGCTATACAATGTAGTTTCTGATGACTATAAATAAGTACCTTCTCAAATCTTAAGTGAAATAGAGTTTATGATTTTTGGTAAAATAAAATTAATTGAGGCTCTGAGTGAAAAAAACCTGAAAAAGCTCTGAAGCAGAAACATTGTAGACTTCCCAAGTTATGAACTGCATTCGTGATCCAACGGAACTTAAATACGTTTTGCCAGAAGAGCTACTGGATGAACGTTATAATTATAACCGTTTATGTAAAGAAAATGATTATTATTCTGACGTAACTGGGGGTTGGTTCAAGAATAATAAATTCCTCCTCATATATAACACTTCTAATTGTTTTTTTAAAATCGAAAACACCTCCCAATGTGAACATTTTTGAATAACTACGACGTGTAATGTCGGAACTTTGTGACGTGTTAAAGGGAAGGCGATTATTTCTTTTTGCGTCTGAGTTTGCGGATTATGCAGTGACCTCATTTCACAGGAATGCCTGTGCACAAGGGTCGGGGCAGAATGTTGATTTGCGGATTTCATCCTTTCATCTCTCACCTCGGTGCTTCTGCAGCGGCCGGCCTGGAGGAGAGCGCGTTGCGTTTGAGGCCTCAGACAAAAGCGGCCTAATTACGGTCAATAAAGTCCCCGTATGCGGGTTATCGCAACACGTCGCCGCGTGCGTGAAATACACCCAATTACATTATAATCCAACGGGAAAATAGCTGCACAATGAAGGCGAGTGAACCCGTTATGGATTAAATGCTCATTTTCCAATTTTATCCACATTGCCTCTAATAAACAATTATTTCTACAATAAAACGAAGTTAGCGGACAACATTTAAATATTATTCAATTTCCTGAAAATTAATTTCCATAACTTACTTTAAAAGTAGTTTTTGACATGTTTCAGTCAGGCTTAGAAAAATGCCGACGAATCAAATAGCAAATAGCTATTAAATTCTTATGACGTGTGCATACAAGGATATTTGATAAAGTTATGGTGCTTTTTAGTTATTTAGTAATTATTGATTTTTTTCCCACGCCAGTGGTTTGTGCTGCGGCCTGTATTTGTTGTGAGTGAATTGAATGGGTTAAAAGGGCCAAAACAAAAAAAGTAAAGGGTGGGTGTTCTAATTACAATTGGGCTGATAAAAACTAAAGAATTAATACTATTATGAGCCAAATAAGCCATTTGTAGATAGCGAGAATTGTTTCAAAACAGCTCACGGTTTAGTAAAACAACCTCTTAGCCAATATAAATGGGATGTTTCTAATTTCAATGAGTTTATTTAGTCTGCTGTTCATCCTCAACGTTTTCTTGCTTGTTCTGTAATGGACGACTGAGGACATCAGGTCCACAGGAAAAGAGAAATGTTTCAATTAGTTATTTTCCAGTTTTGCTTATTGTCTCTCTTGAGCCCAAAAATAAATTTGCAATATTTGTTTTACAACAAATATCAGACAATATAATAACCTTTTCCTTCAGTCATGATCATTTTAATATAATATTAACAGTCTTATTGTACTATTATTGTATTGTGAATTTGAATAATTTGTTTGAATTATGTTTTAGAATAAGGCAAAATAATTATAAAATGATGATATGAAGATATGAAGAATTTTTCATATGATTACTGATTTATGTCATCTTACCACGCAGATTGTTAAAATATTCACTCGCGCTCATTTCAAACAAACAAAAAAAAGTGGACATTGTAATCAAAGCATCAGCCTATTGTGTGTGTCTGTGTGCGTGATTGTTTCCCATGCACGTCAGGAAGAACCAGCGAGAGAAAGAGTGAGAGGTCGGACTGGGAGTGTCGGCGCAGGATTTACGAGTGTGTAATGAAGCATCTCTGATGTTGACAGACTAAACAGAGACTCTGTCAGCTTACACACACACACACACACCACACACACACACACACACACACACACACACACACACACACACACACACACACACACACACACATACTGCTCCAGCCTTGAGAATATGTCAGTGTCAATATGCAAAAGCGAAGGTAATTGACGTATAATATTGTTGTGCATGCTGCAAGCATATAACCAATTCCCCAATCTTAAAATCAACAGCAGTCTGGACAGTGTGTTGTCGTCAATACTGTACATACAGGTAACAGGTTAAACCCTATCAATGGCCATTAGCACATTATCTAATAATCAATGGTTTTAAACGGCAATTTCTCCATTTGTGCCTCATAAATGTTTCTTCTGACACGGTGTTGTCTCTTCATTAAGCTAATCTTAAAAAAAAACGATCCTTGCAAATACCGTGAGGGGTCGAGGGGAACATGTTGCTGCGCTATGCAGCCGGCCGGGTTTGGACGAGGTTCTTCGTTCCCTCTTCAGCTCTGTTTTGACTTGCATGCCATCTCTCTGACTACCAGTGAAGCGCCAAACACCCCTGGAGTGGATTCTGAGCATACCAAGGAAGAGATGCCTTTGAAAGGACAGATGTTCCCGGGCTCAACCTACACCTCCTACCCTGACCGCCAGCCTCCTACCATTGTATATTTGTTCTTGCTCTATAAATAACTGGCCGGTGAAGCACAGAAAAATGTAACTGATGTGCAGCTGACCTCCGGGCCTCTAATCTCTGAGAGTGAGAGGGACTCTGGAGAGAAGTTGGTTGATACAGTCATGGTAAATGGGTTTGGGCGAGGGGGACGCAGTGAAACCCACCCATTTGCGTCCACATAAGGACTAGTCTCAATGTCTGGACTGGCTCAGCTGTCTTATGTAACAGCAGTGTGTAGTCCTGGCGCATGAGGCGTGATGGGCTCGAGCCAGTTCAGCCACATTATCCAAAAATATACGGGGGTTATTCAAAGGGGAATGTACAGTTATTTCATGTTCTTAATATTTTAGTTTGGGGTTTTCTTTCTTTTTTAAAAATCTCAATGTGGGTGGTAGAGGAAAGCCTATTGGTAGTTTTACAAAAAACAACTTATCGCCTATCTTCATTTATTTCAAACTCTCAAGAACCCCAAAAAGGATTTTAATTACCATTTGGCGATTTCCCATTTTAGAAACAGCCTTTTTTTTAATCCCTAGTTTGTGTTTGCCCCGTTGCTGTGGCTGCGGGGATGAATGGGTGATTGTTCCAGGGCCCTTGCGACAACTCTCCTGGGGCCCATCAATTCACAGAGGCTCCTGGAACATCAGGTCACGGAGAACCCCGCTCTGAAGCTGCAGCTGATTTTGCCCCAGTTAGAGCTCGGGACCTCCAGGGCGCACAGCTGGGTTCCTTAAAAAAGCCCCGCTGAACGGTTTTAGAAACACTGCATCTCCTCTTACCCTGCGCTCTCTCCCCACTCGCTCAAAAAGCCCAACACAGCGCAGATATCAGATACTGTGTTTTCTACTCGATATGTTCATCTCTGCTTGCCAAAGCCCCTGGAAACCATATTAACGTCTGCGTTCCATTATTTAACCAAAAGGCCTCTTCGGTTGGAGAATTTGTCCAACATTTCCATTAGCCGCTCTCACCTTCTCTCTCCTCTTCTCCACAGCTCTACGTTTCGCTCACACACATCTTCATTTTCAACCCCCCCCTCCCACACCCCTCTTTCCCCCTCCGGCGCTGCTATTGTGTCGTATCGGTTACAGCTGACCACCAGTCAGGTGGGTCTGCGGGACATTTCAGATCACGGAGGGGCAGCCAGCTCGCTCAGCGCCGGGAGCCTGCGCTCAGACTCCAGTCCCAGGCCCCGCTGAGGCCTTGTCCCGGGCAGGGCAGAGAGACACCTGGCCAAACCGCAGAAACACTTCCAGCTGCAGACTGCCTGATGCTCGCCACGGAGAGAATCCAGGCCAAAGGTGGAGGGGCTCACCGAGGAACTGCTGCGATACCGGGGACGGCTTCCTGACCAACCAAACTCATGCTCTTTGGCAGAGGTTCGGTAATGTCTTCAGGTTCCAGAACTAACTTTTACATTGTGACTATATCTAACGAAAGCATCTTATTTTTTCCCGCTTCAGACTGGGAAACGGAGCCCAGCAAACTCTTGCTCCTCCAAGTGAAAGTGGGAGAGCACAAGTGGCGAAAAAAAAGAGAAAAAAAAGAAGAGGCAGAGTGAACAACAGCTCCCTTTTCTCTCCGACTAGTTGACTTGAAAGGCCACATTATGTCTGAGATTAGAGGCAATTACACTGGGAGTGCGCCTTAAGACCTTTGTTTGCCAACATGACAGGAGGGAGCAGGGCTGTAATTTGATGAGGAGGCAGCGCGAGTGAGAAACTCCGCACGTCGAGCTCCCAGTGGGGAGAGGCAGAGAGGAAGCCTTTGTCCGTTGCATGGCGGGTTGGCCGAGTTATGAATGTTTAGAGGAACAATTCCACCAGCAGCAGATGTGTCTTTGTCCCGGAGTTCAGATTTCTTTTGTGGCTACTGTTAATGGCTGAAAAAAAAAAATGAGTTTAAAGACTTTACGGCCTCAAAGGGAAATACTTTCATCTTCCGCTTGTTCCGGATCTATTGTTTCGGCATTTCTATCAATTCCAATTTCACAATCGTGTGCCTTCATTCAAATGTCACAAATCCTGTAAACAAATGATTCAGCCTGAACTCGCGGGTCAAACAAAAGCACCCTTGGCATATCTTCCAGACGAGACATCTCCTTCATTGTGGCCGGCTGCATTGTTCTGAACACGCCGCGAGTTTTCAGGACAGGAAACAAGCAGCTTGTTCCAGCCCGACCGGCGGAACGGAGCACGTCTTTATTTGAGGGAAGTCATTCCGTTGATATATAAAACACCAAAGCAAGGTTTCCTTCCCCCCGGCTTTCCTGGTGCTATCCCCTTCAAAAGAACACAGCCCTTTATACTGGGCTCACGTGCACACACGGGACCAGAAGAAAAACAAACACAGGCCATTTAAATATCAAGCAAGCTGCCTCCTGTTTGAATTGAGGAGCTACCGCTCGGCCCCGGCTCCTCCAGCCTTCAGTTACTCGCCTTCTGAGCCCAGTACAACGTATTGGGGTGTTGATTTCTGCAGGGTAGGCCAATACAGTATGTAGTTGTCTCTTATTCGGTCTTTGAAGACCAACACATTCAGCGAGTTTGACAAACGTCTTCCCGGTCATCGATGTAAGGAACCGAGATTCAAGATTCAATTCATTGTCGGTTTCTGGAAAAAACACTACAGTAACTTCAATGCGAAGGTAGAGAGTCAAAGTACGTAAGGTTCGTAAAGTGCAGAAGTAAATAAATCCCGATGAATGATTGCACATGTAAAGAATTTGTCATGTCTGATATCTGATGGGCAAATATGTAAAAAGAAAAAGAGAAACTCCGATAGCAACAGCAGAACTAGTATAAGCAGCCAGTGTTACATGGAAACTAAGATCTCCAGTTACCAATCATTGTCAGTATCGCTAAAAACGTTTCTAACAATCCCACTTTCACCATCCGCCATCTTGATTTTTTCAACCAAATGTTCCCGCGAGGGAGTGTGAAGGAGGAAGAGGACCACCTATTAAAGTGAAATCTTAGGAGTGATGGATGGGAGCTTGTTGAGGGGGAGCGGAGCAGCACACACCCCAGGGAGGTGGATGATGAACAAGGAAGGATGGAGGGAGGGGTGAGCTCACCAAATCCCCGCTCACACCTCTCGCTGCGGGCGGGTGGAGGGGATGGAGACCTCCCATGCTGTCTGCCTCAGAGATTTGATTGATTCAAGCCTCCAAAGTACATTCAACTTTTGTTTGCTTTCCTTGAATCTTTTTCTTTCATCTTATTGGTTATAAGTTAATATTCCTTCACCAGTTCATTCTTTTAATACTTTAAATACTTCTTAGATATAAGCGAGCAATACTTCACGGAGTGCTGACTGGATTTGTTAACAATGACCTGAAACACTTGAAGGCACTTCCCAAACTTATTTCTCAACATGGAGCCTTTCCAGCAACACTGTAATGTTTTCGCTGTAAGCAAGGCCTCCTCATATTTCTCCAAAAAATTGAAATATCCTGACAGTCGCAATTAATCAGCCAAGTCCTGAAGAGCTTTCAGTGTTTACATAATAGCTATTGGCTACTGTCGGCCCCTCTGATGGGCAGCCTCAAGCCGCTCGCAGCGGAGATGAGGAACAGGCTAGCAGGGGCAATTCTTTTCAGCTCCACACCTCCACTTTGTTTGGTGGGGGGGGCATTTCAATATTGTACTACTCTCAGACGAAACAGACTCAGGTGACATGACTTTGCGCCACCTCATCTGGCATAAAACTCTTTCTTAAAGAAGAGAGTTCCACATCCAAAGTTTCCTTTGAAGGCTTTTGTGTAATGTTGCTCCTGTGAAAACAAATATTGATTGACCTTCGTGGGCCACGGAAATAACATATTGGAATTCCTAAAGGAGAATAAAGTTGCATTCAATTTCTAAATAGAAATCACAATATACGATGCTACAAATAAATCATAACATATATATTTTTGTTTATTTATAGTACATTTTTCACAATAAAGTCACAATGAGAATCTTAAAAAATCTCCCTTAAACCTTTCAAAACCACTACAATGTGAGTTTAACACATAAGTAGTATAATAACAGCATATTCTTGTACTGTATGCTGTGCATATGGTTTATTGATCCACATCTACCTTGCATGGATTTGGAAAAATGTTTTGGATAATTCCAAACCGTATGATACTTAATCTGTACAAATGATGGCAGTCTGTGCTGCATGCAATTGTAGGGCTGACAAAGAACTATTTGTGCCCAAAAAAATATGTCATAAGTCATATCATCTAACTAATAAACTGCGAGATGCTAAAGGGAATGCTAAAGTGTGTGCTTACTTTTAACGAGGAAATCCTGTAGTCACATTTGAGGACAATAAATTCATGAAGAAGCAAATGGAGGGGCTGTAGCCCTTGTGGTTTAGCGCCTGGTGTGGGGAGGAATTACTGCTGTAGTAGTTTGCCTTTAACTGTCAGGAAATGACCCATAATCTGCAAGCGTTTGACTGCTGCAGCATTCCTGTGAAATGACACAAGTTGAGCTAGATTAGGGGCTGGGTAATTAGCTCATTAGTCAACATAAACACATGGCAGGACTCCCCCGTTCTACACCCTGCCCCCCTCCCGCCGCCCACAGCTGGTGGCGAAAGTAAATTCTCACAAATGTATGCACATGCATACCTGAGCGAACACATATACAGACATGCACGCTGCACCCAGACCACTTCATCAATCCAATTCCTTTCTTCTGGACTTTGTTTTTCCTCCATGGCTTTTTTTTTTCTGGCTTCATCATCTCTTCTATTCTGCTTCGCTCCAGACAAGCCACTCTTTCATATTGTAGCCCTGGGGGCTGAGGGCCAGCCACTTTTCACCAGCACCTCGCGGCTTATCAGAGCACTTTATCAGCCTGAGGGAAAGAGATGTGGGTTAAAGCTCTTCACTCCTCTCTGCTCTGAAAACCGGCAGGCTGTCGGCAAACAAGTATTTGTAAGCTGGGGCTCAGATATGTGCGCCTTGCGACAAAGAGAAAAGCTTAAGGGGGTCATGTGTTCCAGTGTGGGTTTAAGTGTGTCTGTGTGCACGGGAAGTACAGGACATCCTTTGTGCGCAGAGGTAAGCCGGTCGCCACACAGCCTCGCTTGTTGCTGGTGGGACAGATGCTTAACACTGGAACCTGGACAGCCCTTCACACCTCCTAAATGCGGCAGGGGGCTAGAGCCTTTTCCTCCTCTCGCACCCCTCGAGGTCACCACACTGCTCTCTTTCATCAAAGCATCTCTAACCGTATGAAACACTTCGCCAACTTGATCAAGACGGTGTTGAAAACCTTTCGAAGTTTCACTTCCGCCACGTTGATAGAACACTGCAGAAAGAGGGGGGAAAAAAAATAAAAAAATCAACCCAGTTTTAGCACCTTGAATTGCGGGCACAAGCAACTTTTCATGTTCAGAACAGGACCTGCAGTGTTTTTGCATGGGAGCCATTGGAAACAGAAAGCCTGGTTGGTGGTGCGTAATGATTGATATGAATGGCCATTTGTGCGGCTTTCCACTGTGAAGAACTGGCTGCGAGGCCAGGCCACTTGGGGAGCAGTGCACCTGGGTCACATGATGTTTGACAGAGGGGAGGTGGGACAAGCCGAGAGAGACGGGGCGGGAGGAGAGAGGGAGGAGAGAGGGAGGAAATCGTTTTTCGAGCGATCAATCATCTGCAGTTTGCTACCGAGACTAGTTGCTAGATTGGAAGTTGTGTTTAGATACAGCCACTTAATCAGGAGACGACACAGCTGATGGATTCATCCATCATCGCCTGGAGACACGGAACATTGTTTGATTGAAAGAGAGGAAAAAAACGAGAGCTCTCCTCACTGGTCGTCCTTTGAGTTGCAATGTGTTAAAGTTGGACTGATTCGGTTTGGCTTCGTGTGTGCGCGCTTGACAGATTGTGCAACTTAATATATTGCCTGAAGCAATGACGCTATGTTGGTTTTCATAAATCCCATTCATGGGTGGAAAGTTAACATGCAAAGGCACAGTTCCTAGTTTACATTGGCTCTGTATCATTACATAGGGGATGGGAGGACTGGAAATACAAAAATGTCCGTCAAAATGTGCTTTTATTTTATCACTTAACAACTTTTGTTGTAGGTTTGAGTTTTATTTCAGACCGTATGTATACCGTAAGCATTTATATTCATTGGTGTAGACACAATGTAATTCATACAACATATCGAGACACACTGAGATAAATATTTGTCACAATACATTTTTGGGATATTCATATTTTCAAATATGTACAGGCAATCAATAAAGAAATGCAGAAAAACACCAGTTGGGTTGAAATTGATTTTATTATGCATTATAGTATCTTCAGCTTAATTTGCAATAGTTACAGAATACTGTTTTTAAGTTGGAGTTTGTGAGGAATTTAAATGCATGTGTGATATAATAGCAGCTTAAAAGGGGCACAGTAAAAAAGGATTCAACCCGGATTCCATTTGCGTGGTACTGGCTCATAGACTTCACACACGTACTGTAAATATCTCATACATGATTAAAATGTTAAGAGAGCAATTACACGTGCATTTCACACAACACAATATCAGATGCTGAATGATCCAATGTGCCAGCTGTGCATTCTCATATATATATAATAATAAAATCTAATAGTGATAGTTAAAACACGGACCGACTGCGAGGGACGCTACCATTGACAGTGATTGGTGTGTAAAGGGGCCACGCCTTGCTCTTTGGCCGCGGGCCACGGCCTTATCAGGCCTGATGAATTACATTGACACCCAAGCTATCTTAATGACTCTGTCTATCTCCCCATCACCCCTCTCCTTCCTCTCCCCCCCACTGCCCTTGGCCTTGCTCCTGCATCCTCCTACTGTTAAAATATCCAGACCTGATTTCTGTCACTGTGCGTGTGTGCTTTTGTCCTTTACATGGGGGAGGGGGGGGGGGGGGGCATTACTCAGCCTCATGGATCGAAGCGAAGCACGGTTGACGAGCACCGTAAGGTATTCTTTATTGACAGCCAGTGTCAGCAGTGACTTAATAAGAGAGAGGAGAGGAAGAGATGAGCAATGCCACGTTGTCTAAAAAACAACTGTGGTAGCAGTGAAAGCTCACCTGCTGTAACTTGTATTATACACACAGACGCCTGTAGCACCGTAGTCTACTCTTAGAACATTAATTAGCTCGTTCACTCCCCCCCCCCCCCCCCCTCCCCCTAATGGCAGAACATCCCTGTTGTTTGCTGCACTGTCTGACACGCGTCGAAATGAGGTGTGTTGCCACCGTTGACGGCTAAATAGACGCGGCGGAGCGAGTAAGTACCTCGCTCTGAGACCCGATCCTTGGTGGTGAGCAGTTGGCATCCTGGAGTCTCATTTCCTGGTTTTTTAAGAGGGCATCCTTCCTTCTTTGACTTCAACTTCCTCTGCTATAACACCCATTGTGGAATGCATTGCTTCTGCATTTTAGAGGGTGCTTCAAGTGGCCCTTGGACTTTGGCTTTAATTTGTTCAGGACAAATGGCCAGTAACTGCAGTCGTTCTCGCCACCTGTCCTGGGCCACGTCAGGCTGAGGGCCGTCACTGAGCACGGCTGTAAAGGACACATAGTGGTCCGTTCGGCCTCGTTGGAAGGGTTTGTTGATGTTTGATGGAAGACCAAGGCTGTTTAGGTGACCGCAAATATTATTTCACTGATTATCACAAGGGCAAACATGATACAATGATAACAAAGGTAACTCTATGGGAGGTTCAGCTCACGTTCACTTTTAACCATCAAATGTTGAGGAGCAAGTAAAATAAGTTGTTTCCTTATGTTTGATTAAGAAGAATCTGAATTTGTAGTTAAGGGTTCTTATTTGGGTTCACAAACTTTCCAAAGATCATATTAGATCTGATTAATTTGCATGACTTATTCTTCATTCTTATTTTAAGTCCTAATCTTATTTGACTTCAAAACTTGAAAAAGTTAGTCATACATTTAAAATACACTTTCAAGATAATCAGTGTTAGTCTCTCAAAGAAAATATCATCTGACTTATTTTTTAAATATTTTTTTGGCAACATTTTGGTATGAAAGACATTCTTAAAAAGGCTTTGTTCAGATGCTAAATGTCGTTATAACAGATGGTTGTGAATGTTTGTCCAGATTCACAATAGTACAACTGTAAAAAATGAATATATTTTTTCAACAATCATCAGCAGAAAAAAAAGAAAATGTGCATTTGAATTACAGCCAAACTGCAAATCTTTTAACAGCCTCCTCACTGTCATTAGCTGAAAGCGAAACGAATGTTTGGGACGGTTAACAGGTGGGCCGGCTGGGAACTTCATCCGACCGTTGTAATACTTCTACCCACAGCTGAACCTCAGCCCAGTCTACCATTGGCTGTCTCACTCGAACACCAGTTAGACGTGATGTAGGTCAGAAACAAAGACGGGTTGCACTTTGCAGCGAGGACCATTTGTTTTTCCTTCTCCTCTCGACGTCAGAGCGGGGGACTGGTGTGCGGTCCAAGTATTCTGGTTGTAATAGTAGCTCAGTGTTCCGGGAACTGCGGGATAAAAACTGAAAAAAAGAAGAAGAAAAAAACCCACGGCGGTGAGGATTTCTGGGTAATAACTCCATCTTTTTGCATTGCAATGCAAGAGGGAGGAGGGGCGTCTCTCTCCCTCTCCCTCCCTTTTTTCACTTCTTTTTTTCCTCGTTCTGGCCGGTTCCACAGCCTCCTGTCCGCGGAAAGCATACTCTGCACATTCTGCAGACAAGAGTCTTCAGGGAGGAAATAGAAAGGAAATTGTGCAGAAAGAGTAAAAAAAAAAAATCAGTCTCTCCTTCTCGCTTTCTCTGCCTCTCTGTGGCTCACTTCACACAAAGAATGACTCCTTGTTTTCAGTTCACTTCTAATTACTTATATTCATCCCTGAAGATGGAAGTTAAGGCGGTAAACAACACGTATCGTAATTCACACACAACCCCCGTACATCAAAATGATTCAGAGGTGTGGTGATCTTTAATACAGAATTATTCTGGATTGATTCAGTGTAAAATTGCAACATGACTCACTGCCCGGTGGCTTCAACAAGATAACATACCATCTACTGGTGTTAATCCACGATCACAGTTTCAGATGTAATACGATGCAAATTCAGCGAAACTAGATCTCTGACCCTCCGCTAACTCGTTGAAAATGATGTCCGTTTTCTTTTTAATCTCAGGCTTTGGCAAGAATGTTGAGGACAAATATGATGAGGAAATGGAAACTTTAGCAGCTTTTCAAGATCTTGGCAGATTTCCTCTTCTGCCCCCATTAGGCGAATGATGGTCGAGGCTCATCTTGCACACCTAGTTTGTCACTTTTACACTCCCATATTTCTGTTTACAGGAGAGCTGGGAATATGACCAGGCCGGTCATGTGTGTCAGTGTTGTGTTGCAGAGGGAGAGAGAGAGAGAGAGAGAGAGTGAGAGAGAGAGAGAGAGAGAGAAGGAACAGTTGAGGTTTCAGGTGAGGAGTTTTTATAAGTTCTCTCCTGGGAGCTCTTTTGTGCCGGGTGGTCACACTTTGAGTTGGTAACCGACCTCTGACCACATGCTCTCACCTGGATGTGAAGTCACGATGCGTTTTCATGAGGGCTGGACCTCGGCCGTCCTACAGGTGGTGCTGTCTCTAATAAAAAGGTACTCCATTTGCCCAGGTAACACGTAACCAAGGGTAACAAACCAAACAATGAATTACCCCCCCCCCCCCAAAAAAAAAAAAATGCCTCCACACATACATTTGCCTCTAAAATTGTAATTTTGATAAAAACACAATCCTTCGTTTACAAGTCGGGTTAACTCGGATAGAGGGCCGCCGGCCTTCATGTGTGCGTGATGAATGGAGCCGGAGCAGATGCGTCTGCCAATCAGCCCAAGATGAATTTAGGTCACTTCCTTTTCGTGCCATACCCAACTATAAATAGATAAATTAGCCAAACAATCCCTTTGTAATCAAACACTGCTGATGGGATTTGAGAAAAGGTTACTCACTTTCTGTTGGTCACATAAAAGCGTGCCTCGCCGTCAGGATAACGGTGTAATGAGCCAGTAGCATTGGGAGTTAACGGTGGGGCAACTATGAAGCTCTAGTGTTGTCACCATGAGTCTAAGGTTAATATAGCAAAGACACAGGGCAAAAAAACTTCAAAGACACTTCTAAGTAGTTTTGGCAACGGGGGGGCCTTTGGCACAAAGGGCCGTGTTTGGGATTGAATGAAAAGGTGCATGTCACCGGAGGGAAACGTGGTTAGGCATGTTCAATGTATCAAAAGAAAAGAACTGATAAATAAAAGGAGGACGGAAAGGTATGTAAACTTCACAGCCCGAGCCCGAGGAGGGAAGAGCCCCCTGCGGTGTGTGATTATTTAACCACAAAGCCTCTAGTTTGTGTAGCAGGCTGCATCCTAATGACACGTCACACATACACACACTCGCATGTCTGCATCCACAGAGAGAAACCCGGGCTGAATCCCGTCTGGCTCAAACAATGCAGGCGTTAAAAAGTGATTATGATCATCAAGATTATCAGGATCCCGCAGCCTCTGAAAAACATTCTGGAAAACAATTTAAACAAGAGCTTAAAGTTAAAGGTTTCCCCAACAAATACAAAAGTCTAAACAACTTTTTTGAAAAGGCTCTTTAAAACCAATTGGTGTCTCAATATAATAGGTGTGGACTCTAATCACACCTTGTTATTGTCATTTGAAATGTTTTTTCCATATTGAATCAACTTGCAAGAGAGCCATAAATGAGATGAGCTCTGTAATTAGCTTCCTCGTCCATGAAGGAATTTCTCCATCGTGATAACTTTTTTCCCCCTCTATAAATATCTTTCTTACACGTTTGTTTGTATCATTAAGCCATGAAAAATAAATTTCTTTCACTTTGAAACATTTGCTAAGCCAGATTTAAACATCGTCAACACCAGCTAGCGCATTGCGAACTTCTGAGGACTTGTTACCGCCGCCTACTGTCGATTAGTGGAAGAGCTGGAAACCCGTCACTAGAAGATTCTTATCGTACACATTTTATTATCTCAAGACACAGACTAACTCATCAACAACGTCTTTAATGTTGGCACGCCCCGGCTGGGTGCCTTACATTGAGCTCTTTCACAGTGGAACGTGGTACATTGCGCTTAATTTCTACTGAGATCAGAATGGAAATACTTAATTGGAATAAATGTTGCTCTCTTAAGATGTCCAGACCAGATGTCATGTCACTGGCAGTCAGGGATTAATCTGTGTGCTGTGCCTTGACTTCGTTGGGC